TATATATGTGAATAAGGTTATACGTGTTTTTGTCTGGGATGGAGAACAAACTTATACATTGCATTGTAACACTCAGAATTTAAACTTTCTAAAGGTGAATTACTAACGTGTTTGAAAAATATATAAATAGTAAAATGTGGCGTCGCGGACACTGTAAAGTGTTTTGAAAGTAGTTGTTGAAAATGTCTTTCATACTTAATTTTTTTTCATTTCCAGTTTGTTCAAATGTTCTTTTAGTACAATATGTGATCAAAAGTATCCGGACACGTCCAAAATGGTGTTATGGTGTGGTCGTGTTTTCATGCAGGGAGCTTGCACCTCTTGTTTTGTGTGGCAGTATCACGGCACAGGTCTACGTTGATATTTTAAACATCTTCTTGCTTCCCACTGTTGAATACGAGCAATTCGGGGATGGCAATTGCATCTTTCAACACGATCGATCACTTCTTCATACTGCACGGCCTTTGGTGGAGTGGTTACTCGATAATAACATCTCTGCACAGAGTCCTGACTTGAATCCTATCAAACACCGTTGGGATGTTTTGGAACGCTGACTTCGTGCCAGGCCTCACCATACCTCTCATCAATGTTCAGCACTCCGTGAAGAATGGACTGCCATTCCGCAAGAAACCTTTGAGCACCTGGTTGAAAGTATGCCTGCGAGAGTGGAAGCTGTCATCAAGGCAAAGGATGAGCCAACACACTATTGAATTCCAGCATTACCGATGGAGGGCGCCATGAACTGGTAAGTCATTCTCAGCCATGTGTTCGGATACTTTTGAGCACATAGTGTTTTGGGCATTGGACGTACGAATGAATCGTAGTACCTGAAAATGTTATACTCCCATTCAAAAGTTCCCAACAGGCAATGGTCTTGTATGTTACCTCCATACGGGATATGAACTAGTCTTACTGCAATTTCAAAATTTTAACCACCGTAACAAATACTTGCAGGTTTTGATTACACTAATATTTAAATTTTAGCACAGCTACATCTTTATGCCTTTTCTCTAATATGCACAAAAGTGCACAGGGCACATTTGCATTAGCACAAATGCTAAATGCAAAAATGCAGATCATTTCCAATTATTTCCGAAAATTCTCTCACCCCATCTTTCACAACTACACTTGATTCTTTCCTGGAATTTCTTAACACATATTTTCCCTAATTTTTGAAGAGATTAAAACTTTACTAACTCAGTGTAATTTGTGTTCAGTTCTACTTCTGCAACTGCTCTATCAATTGTTTTATACACGAATCTAATTTTGCATGTTAATCTAATATTAAAAGGTTACTGTTTTGTATGGTTACGAAACAGCCCCATTCTATCCCTCCTACGTCTGTGGCGTCTTTGCCGGGGCAATAAATCACAGACGTGAACGGTTTGTAATTTATTGAGTATTTATTTGAAATATGCCCCAACACCTGAATACTATGTACAATAATTACAATAAACTATATTGACCCGTTACTAGAAGGAATGTTCCTAGTCACCACCACCGCTGGCCTGATAATTAGATATCATATTCGATATGATGCACCAGTAGCCTACGTGAGCATACAAGCGAATATACTGCACCTCCCGTCTCGACGTAGCACGCCGGCTTCAGTTCCCTGCCTCAGTAGCCCATGCATTGAAATGCAGCGCCGCGCACAACCCACACGACTTTCTACCGACGCGCCCAAAGATCAGAAGTTGTGAATCGTATGTGAATAAGCTGTTAGTGAAGTTTAATAAGAATGATGAGGCCTGGATGACATTCATTTAAAAATCGGTATTTGCACACTGATGTAAGAGCGTGAAAGTGCGAAGTCGAATATAAGAACGTTCATTCATTCTCTAGCATTACTTTCAGTCTTATTTTCTCCATATTCACTTGAAATTCTTCAACTTTAATAATTACTGAGGCAATACTATTACATGTTACATAAAATTTGCAGCTTGATTCATTTGGTTATTCAATTGTTCACTTAAAGCTATCAACGTCGTGATATGTTGCCAACGACGTGAAATAAAATTATGGCGTATTAAGCTAAAAATGCCTTTTGGTACTGGTGTTTAATCAACGTCACCTACAGAGATCTAGTTGGGAGGCATTGGTTTAATTCCTGACATTATCACTATGATCACAGCGCCAAAACACAAAAAGATCCAAAAACAAGTTCTCAATTACCCATCAGGAGACCGAGATACAGTCGAATGACACACCTCATACGTCTCGATTGGTGCACGGGAAGTGATCTCGCCGTGAGTGATGGAACCGCACATCTGAACATCCGAACATACTGTAATGGGACGGTCGCACGCGTCTGGTTACGAGGTGTTTTTTAATTTTTTTTATTTATCATTACGTTGTTGAGCACCAATGCAAGGGAGCCTGGAAAATTCCACTTTTCGCTTCCTGCGCGGTTGTAGGATGCGCTGGGGACCTCCGAGACCTGGAGCTCTATTGTTTGCGACACGGGCCTGAATGGCCATAAGTAAGATAAGTTAGTTTAAGTTAGTTTTAAGAGTGGCTTCACCTCGAATGGAATGGATATTAAATCCACATAACAAATGCAACCATGTGTTTTAATGCATTATGATCCATGATAAAAAGCCCTATCAACCATGTATCCTAGAAGAGTCTGCAGACTGAGCAGACGGGGCAACGCTGCATCGGGCAACCAGGTAATCAGGAGAGTCGGGGCAGCCACCCGGCGGCTGGATGGTTACAATACGAACATTTACACACTCGGAGGTTTACTAAAATATTATGTAGAGATGACAGCTTTAGAGCAAATGATAAAGATATATTTTGCTTTCATTAAAAATGGTTCAAAGTTGAAAGTTTGTGAAGGTATTTTAAATGTGTTAAATGGAAACAGGAATTTAATGGCGGCCAGATTTGGATGCTGCACGAAACAATGCAATTTTCCTCTTGCTCTTCGCACGTTTCTTGAAACTTCCTCTCCACCATGTATTCGAATTCTGAAACACGTAGAAAAATAATTGAGATTTTAGATTCAACATCGGTCGACATGATCGACGTTTGCACAATGTCTCTCACACCTTCCACCTGCTCCTCGGGTATTTTTGGTTCGATTTTTTGGTTTGGTTTGAATTTCCTCACTTACCACAGAAAACTTGACAATTTTTCGAAAAGATGAGTAGTTTTCTCGTAATTTTAATGAAATAAGCCAATTTTTAAACAATTATTTAGTAGTATTTTGTTTGTTGTTTTGTAGAGCAAAGTATGGTTATAAAAATGATGCAGGCCCCTTTTTTATGAACTTTTTGCTTCTGCGAAAATTTAAAAAAAATAGCATTGCAAAATTACAGTTTTGCGACTTTTCTTTTAAGAAATCTGTTCTAAAAATGAGATCTAAAACAATGTCGTGAAAGTTTTTGTGAAGAAACGAGTAGTTTTTTTGTAATGTTTGCTTGAAGTAAAGGCAATTTATTAAAAAATGTAAAGAGGCCCCAATGTTCTTACAGTTTTTTATCGAATAGAGCAAAGAAGAATTGAAACATAGCAATGGGACTTATCTTTATAAATTTTTGAAACTTATAAAAGTTATTTCAAAAAATTAAGTGCTGTAGTAGCACCACTAGTTTTATCATAGAATAAGGAAATAATAATAAAGAACATTTTCTCAACTAAAAATCGAAAAAAACGATGTAAAGACGTTTGTCATAAGATAATTAATTACTCAGTCACGTGTGTATACCGATTTTATGACCACACAAGTTTTATGACCACCTCATGGATGCTGCAAAGGTTTGTAGTCTCTTAGCACCCATTTATGCCGATCCTAAACTGGAATACAGTATTACATTGATATCTTCAGTCAGAAGAGAAATAGAAACAGTTCAATCTGTTATTTCGATTTTTTGGATGCGAAATTCCAAATATGTAAACAAGAAAAGGAAAATGTGAATTATCGAAGAATTGGGGTGTTCAACGTTTTGATCTGCCACCTGTTGAAAGAAAATACATTTTCTTGCTTCATGTTCCGAACCAGAGATTGAAAGACTCATAAAATGTTTTCACCGATGTGTTGATGGTCACACAAGTGACTTAAAATTATGTTCGGAGGCACTTACGAGATTTTGTCCCTAAGTACATGCGTTCGAAACTGACATACTGAAGCACGTGGATATCATCAGATTGGCGGTGGAAATAACCCTTTATCCATTATTTTGATTTATGATATTTGAATAACCAAGCATCATATTTGTAGTGAAGATAAACAAAATTTGAGAACGAGTTATTCGAGTAATAGAGGTTGGAACTATTGATTTTGGAGTTATAAAAGTTGGAGTTCTACAACTTTAAATTATAGAAGTTTGTGTTACATAATTTCCAGTTATAGACGATATAGAGTTATAGAAGTTAAAATTATGTAAGTTGCAGTAATAGAGGTTGGAGTTACAGAAATGCGAGATGTAAATGTTAAAGATGTAGACGTTGAAGGTGTAGAAGTTGGAGGTGTAGAAGTTGGAGGCGTAGAAGTTGGAGGTGTAGAAGTTGGATTGATACTAGAAGTTGGATTGATACTAGAAGTTGGATTGATACTAGAAGTTGGATTGATACTAGAAGTTGGAGGTGTATATTTTGGAGGGTAGAAGTTGGAGGGGTAGAAGTTGGTCTTATCAATATATTTTAGCTCTTCCAAAGCTTCCTGAACATTTTCGTGCAATATGTTTGGAGAAAGAAAGGGGTTGAAGAGACACCCTTAGCATATATTTCACCGGGGATTCAATGATCTCAGAAGTTAATTTAAATTCCGGGCGCGGGGGCCTGAGGGGGGGGGGCGTGCGGGCTCTAAGCGGCAATTTCCTGAATTTGTAGGCAGCGAAGGGGGCGTGGGCGGCGAAGGAAGCCAATTTGGCTGCAAATAAAATTTTAAAAGCGCAGTTCCGCGCTCAGCGTCGACGACCCCCATTTCCGGCTGAATTTCATCCTAATTTTCACCCGGCGATAATAACTCCTCGGGAAATTCGCTTCTGTTTCAGTGGGCGTAGCGAGGGCGAAAAGGTCTTCGGGTGAAGAATGGGAAGAATCCGTGGACGTCGTAAGCATCAAGAATGGAAGTAGGCGAAACAATTGTGTGTTGAAAATAGTGGTTCGGAGTTGTTGAACTAAACTGCACAAAAATGGTTTTCTAAAAGTAGCATGCTCAGGAATAAAAAATAAAATACCTCCTCACAACAATGCTACAACTTACATATTTTAATAAAAACAGTAGTAATAGTGTAAGGTCATAGTGCGCTCGGGTAGAGAGTTCTGTGATGGATTCTCCTGGAATTTACAGAAACATTCATAAAAACGTTTAAAGAGGATGGTATTAGTAAAGCAACAATGGAGATCAACATTGACCATGGAATAAATTTAAAGCAAGAAAGAATAATAGGAAATTACCAATGTAATAAAACAACGGAAAATAAAGTATTGTCGTTATGGATACGTGAAGAACTTCGGTGGATAACTATATGAATACTAAACATAAACAAATATAAAATGACACGGGATGTCAAAGAGTAAATTCATAGATAGGTAAACAACTAATTAGCCAATCGGAAGGAACACGGATACATGACAATTGAGGGATGAAGCGCAGAATTAACAACAAGGAAGGAATTTGGGAACATTCATAGATGACAATTGAAAGGCGGGGAATATAGCTCGCCGACAGAACGAGCAGTGATCGTGGACAGATCGAGTCGATCCGCAGTAAAAAAATTGTTAGCGTAATTAATTTGCTATATATTTCTTGCTATATATCCAAAGTTTATTAGTCTAATTGAAAAAGAAGTTGGAATATGAAAAACGAATCGCAGTTCTAAAATCGAGTGACTGAATATTAAACAAATTTCCAAAGATTATTTAGAATTTTACGTAAAATCGGAAGCATAACGAGATCCAGCTGCAACATAGCTTAACATCGCAGATGGTATGATATAAATGCCGCAATATCGTCGTTCACGTTTGTCGAGGGAAACTTGCAACCAAGAAGGGAAGTGATAGACTATAAATATTAATTTCCTATGTAGAGCTGTGATTTACATGCAATAAAAACAACGAAATATACGCATACATATGTAAATGTATTTGGTAATATACGCAATTAAAAAAGGAAAATATGTGAAATAGTGAGATGTAATATGTAAGTGTAAAAATAAATTTAAAGTGTAATGAGGAAATACGATTACAGCAAAAAACAAACAAACAGAAATCAGAAATCGTACAAATTGTTGCAAGCGACAAACATTAAGTCAAGAGCTTAATGTTGATGAACACTTATTTGCTGATAAATTAATTGGGGATGCAGTTGATGTTCATTCCACAAAATACAAAATATAGGTTTTTGCAACAAAAATATGTCTTTCTCCCAGTTCACGCAAATTCACGGACCTCACCCTTTTAACACCACTGAACATTTGCGCTGTGTGTGGGCACGCATAGGCGCTCGGCGGACGCACATTTCATTTCGACTGATACTGCCGATGACTGGTCTTAGCGTGCTTCTCAAGCGACTTCGTACGAATCAGGAGAGCGGCAACCCTGGTCCGTGGCTATGGCAACGTAAACAAATCCTCGGAAGCCCATTACTTCAGAGCAAGTCACGTGATGTACCACACAAAGTGGCGAGAGAACTGTCAGAGCCGCTTACAAGCTGACGGAACTCTAACATGGGGTCTTCTTTTCGCTGATGAGGAGTGAATATACAGCACAAATATGCAAATATGGTTCAAATGTGCAAAGTTATAATAAAAATTGCATTAATTGATTCTAAATGCCTCAAAACGTATACAATTTGTTGAAACGGGATGCTTTAGTTAAAAGAAAATAATATGGTAATGCATATAAATTACAGCCCTATTCATATGTATGAAGATCAAGTTGTGTTATTAGTTTTAAGTGAATATTAGACATTAAGAAAGAAAAAGGGGAACACGTCCATACATTCATTTATGGACAAGACCTCGCTACATTAGCTGTATTATCTTATTTATGTAATTAGCTGCGACCGGGTTATAATCGTTTGCAGTGTAAATAAATTTATCTTCATCATGTACCAAGAGTATCAACAAATTTACTGTTAACGTTAATAAAAAATATTTAATGGCTTCTTTCATTAATTTTCATTAGCATGAAAGCAGGTCGCATATCGTCAGATGTATCGTTAGCAGTGATATATTGAGTTGTGAGATATCCGTAAGTATGAAAATAGGTGGAATAACACAGAAGATAGAGATGTCGCGAGGTATGTAGTTCTTTTTGATTGTTTTTAGGAAGATTGAATTAAATGCATCTAATTTTCAGTTATCGTTCTGTATAGAAGGACCGTATGAATTATTGTTTATGGATTAAAGAGGAAAATTTGTGAAAATTATTATCCTTTAGACTGCCATGTGTATAAAATTGATACAGAATTTTCCTGCCAGGCGAGGACATATGTGTAATTCTGTTACACACGCTAGGGTCTTGTTATAGGTGGCCTGGCAACGCGGCCTTGCAATGTAATGTGGAAATTAACATACGTGGTAGTCAAAAAGTGTCGTTTTGACAAGGTACTGACCGTTTGTAGCGCTGAACAGTTCTGCCCAAGGATGGTGTTAAGAAGACATGATGAGACATGTGGGTACAAACAAAGGTATTGCTCAGAAAACAGCTATACTCACATTATCAGGTATTTTAGTTCAAGAATCGAAGTTTATGTGACTCTTCATGCTTTAGACATTCAATATTTTTTTATATTCGAGGAATAAAAATAGGGTTTTTTCATTGTGAAAAGTTCTTTATTCACATGTGTGGCGCATGCATATTTTTGCAGTGTTTCATTAAACTGTGAGGGAGATATTTTTGAGAAAATTTTCCACTGTGTTTCGTGCTAATGAATTTCCCGCAAATTGATTAATTTATGCGTAAATAATTGCAGGACACTGAATTATTTTCAAAAAGCTTAAGTAACAATGATCAATTTTATGCTTTTGTGTACTCCCTTCTGTCGACAAAACATTTTGTTCACGGTAATGAGATGTCGTGTCATTAAATTCTAATGTTGTTTAAAATTATATACAACCTTGTATTATGCAATATTATCGCCAAATGTCAATCACAGATTAGTATACGTTACAAGAATAAACGAGTGCGAAAATTGGTGGCATATTCGCTTGACAACATTTCATGGACCATGAAACACGGGATATCCACAGAAGGGGGAACTCCAGTCCTCGATGTAATAGGGACCTAAAACAAAATATATCTGTTGCGACGCGGCTAATACAGCACCAACATACCTATGCCGACATGAAAATTCATGTCGATAATTAATCAAAAAGTTACTGCATTCAGGAATCCATCAAAAATGCACTGCATTCAGGATGTAAGCCAATTACGAGTACCACTGAAACGTTTTCAGAAAGAAGTGTGACATATCTTGAGACATAAATTGTTTTCTCGGAAAAAGGATAGTTCGCTGACGTAGCAGGTATGTCGCTTGTCTTTTAAAGTAAGTTATTCGAAATAAAATAAATATCACTTCATGTAGTTTCCATCTTTCTACTCCAGACGTCCTTCATCCTGTTCCACTGCGCAGCTCTTCTTTCAGCAGTCCATTCTCTTCTGTTCTTTTCACCGACAAGAAATTTGGGGTCAAAAACGTTTTTATGTATTATTTTCGATTTAGATAGTATTGTTCAGTCATTTTAATTTTTTGTATTTCTTCCTTCATTTGTTTGACATAGCCTCCTTGGCCTTTGTAATTCCAGGTTTTCTCAAAAACGTGTTTGTTTAACCTTCATTGGTCCATGTACACCACATGTTCATAGAACTGTAGTCGTCGTTTCCTAAGCATCAGGTTTTCCGTTTTTCTATACATTTCTGCATTAGAGCTGAATATATAATCTTCCTGTGTTTCTCTTGTACCACAAATCCATCTTAAAATTTTTTCTCTCTATCTTCAGCATATTTTCCATTACAATTATGCCAGTAGTTTTTATGCCATACAAGATGACTTGTCTAACAACTGCACTATAATGTATTTTACATTGATAGACAAATTATTTTTATTATATATACTTTTTGTGCAAAAACGTAATCGTTCCAATTTCCAGATTTTGATCTCAATAGAAATTTTATCCAACCCATTTCTAATTAATTCTCCAAGATATTTAAACCGGTCAGTAACCTACACTTTCTCATAATTTGTTTCTAATGTCTTCTTGGTATTTTTATGATTACTTGTCATAATTTCAGTTTTATTAAACGAGATCTGCACGCCCGCTTTTTCCGCTGTTTCTTTTATTTGATTAATTTCATTAATAGCTTCTTGTTCTGATCTGCAGACAGTGCTAAGTCATCAGCACATGCTAAACATTTAATTTCGAGGTTCTTTTTCTTTGAACCAATTTTTCATTCTCTCAAAATGTTCTCCCAAAATGTTCATGACTTTATTCAAGGCCACATTAGAAAGTATTGGCGATAGTTCCCTTGTCTTAGCCTTGTTTACTTGGAAGGGCTTACTGACTTCACCTAAAAATTTAACTTTGGAAATCATATTGTGGGTTGCATATGACATTAATATTTACTTTTTTTGTTTTACAACATCTTCTAGTGACTTTTTCGATATTTTATAGTTGTTCTGCTATTCGGGTCGGAGATGAATCCAGAAAATTAGAGGAAATGAAAATTGGTTCAGCCATTTTGAGTTATGAATGCTGTAAATAACCCTACTTTGTTTTATTTTATATTCATATTTGAATCCGTACGTATGCTCATGCATGTGGAAACTTTCCTCTCCATCCACTCAAATTCGTATGAAGGGAAATTCAGACGATTCTGGCTGAAATGAATAACCGAGACGAACGTTTTGATCACTCTATCCGATAAGCCTCAGTATGATGCTTTTCAACAATGACGGTTTAGTATTTCAGTAAAATATCCAATTGGCAAAGATTTAAAATTTCAATATATTCTTTCTCCACACTTTATTACACATTATCCTCGCACTATAAATATCTCATTACCAGCTTAATTCCCATCAGTACCTGTTATTAAAGTTCTTTCTTTCCACATTTTATTTCTCCGATAATTAAAAACCGATATTACGTGTATATTGTAAACAACAAATACCGAACAGCAGTGCAATTAAATCGTCTAATTATATACATATTTTAGTAGGAATTGAGAAAAAACTGTTTTCCGAGACTGGAACATAAAGACTCATTTTGCAAGTCGAAAATCCCGCATTG